CGAGTTGAAAACACTTCTCTACTGAGTGAAGGAGCTCCTCCGAAAACGACCGCCCGCTCACCTTGCTTTGACGGTTTAGGGTTTAGGGTTTAGGGTTTAGGGTTTAGGGTTTAGGGCTTAAGGCTTAAGGGTTAGGGCTGTGAGGTCAGCTTATCGGTTGTTTTTCGAAGTTTTGCAACGCTCCTTTGGGGTTTGCTTCTTTGCAAAGTGTTGTTCCCTGGAAGAAAAGCCACAGTCTGTCGTTTGAGGAATAACTTCCAGGTAGTAGGGCTTTCGAAGAAGGCTTCTGATAACCCTACGGTTTAGGGTTTAGGGCTTAGGGTTTTACTACATCCTGAAGTTGTGCTAACAAATCTAAACCCTCCACACAACAAAACGCTGGATTCCAAACGCTACTGACGACCCGACGGCTCAGCAAGACGACAACGCACTATTATTCATAGTACTAATAATGACATTAACAATCGCAACAATATCCATAATCGAAATGACACTAACCATAATAACGACATTACTAGCAGTAAAACAACACTACCAGTAGTATCAATAGTAGTGACCATGATAACCACAATGATGGCAGGAATAGCAGTGGCACGGTAACGCTAAGTTATCACAGCGATAGTAGCAGTGGTGCCAGTAGTAGTAGCAGTAGTAGTAGTAGTAGTAGTAGTAGTAGTAGTAGTTGTAGTTGTAGCAGCAGCAGCAGCAGCAGCAGCAGCATCCCAAACAGTTATGGCAACACTACTCGCATTAAAACTAACAACATTACAAAGCCGATTGCTTCAGACATCTTATAAAAAAAGGCAATGGTTATGATTATGAGCAGACACTCAATATGACCTCGACAACCTCTAAAAAAAAGGCAGACTCATGGGCCCCGTGTTAGTCATGACCTGAGCTCCTGGCTTCTGCTGCCTTCTGCAGCCACTCCCGCACTTCGATAGCCTTCAGGGCTTAGTGTTTAGGGCTTAGGGTGTAAGGTTTAGGGTTTAGGGTTTAGGGTTTAGGGTTTAGGGTTTAGGGTTTAGGGTTTAGGGTTTAGGGTTTAGGGTTTAGGGTTTACGGTTTGATGTGTCGGGTTTGGGGATGTAGAGTCGACACCTTAAGGCTGGAGGACCCTCAGTCTTGGCTTTACGGGCTTACGTTTAAGCCTTCGTGGAATCTGAACTTAGCACTCTACATCGATCCATCCAACTACATGAGATTCCTTGGCTGATTACGACTTCAAAACCAAGTTGGTCCTGAGAGGACGAGTTTTTTTCATCACTGACCCACCTCGCCCAAGGGCAGCACTGCCCGAAGCCTTGTCAGCACGATGCGCTCTGGCTTCGTCTCAGCAATGCTCTTGCAAATACCTCTGCGGACCCTTCACGGAGGCATTCGGGACTGTGGACGAAGCGAGTCGTCTAGAGGTTTGTTAGCAAAATGGGATTCTCCATACCTAACAGGCACATGGCCATATGCTTCGTGCCAGGCGACTTTTGAACTCTTCTAGCAGACCGTCCAAGTGCAGAACGATGCCACGACATGCCCCATAGTCGCCTGTCTTTATCTCGTGCTCCAGCATCTGCTCATCTGCCTCCTGCATGGTATCCTTGAGTCTTTTCGTGCACGGTAAGGGACTATCCCGTTCCATTAGGTTTTGCTATCGGCATGTCTGGAACCTGAGACAAGGGGACCCCTCTGCACGTTGTTCTAAGTTGTTTTCTTCAGGTACCGGTTATCACAGCGCTGGGGTATAAGAAGGACCCAAAAACAAACATGTTCTAGAGAATCCCCAAATCGAGTGCAGCTGAGCTTCTGCAGCTTCGTTCTCAGGCTCCTTGTCTTCTTCGGGATCTCGCTGCCTCTCACCCGACCACGAGGAATGTCTTGTCGCAACCCAGTCTCGAACGTAGCGAACAAACATGGCACAGTCCGGTAATGATTGGATCGCGGCGTGCTTGCAAAACCACCATCGCCCCTGCAGTAGTGGGGCCAAGAGTGCACTTTCGCCTTCTATGGCCTCCGTGCCTAGAACCTCCAAAACACTACCCTCAACTAACCTGTTACCCAAATCCCAAGAACACTGACCTACAGAAGCAAAGAACACTAGGGGCCAACAGGACAGATCCAAAACAGTACACATTCATATACAAAAACAACAACAGACCACTGTTTACAGGAACCATCCCCAACCAATCCGAAGGAACTTTGCAGAATCTGTCCTGGCTAAGCTCTGCCAGTCTCTCGACTGGTTTCGCACGGTCGTGCTTGAGCAGGTCCTGTAGGGAGCTTTATGGGTAGTTCCCCTAAATTAGGGTCCCCAAAATAGTACGGCACCCTTATAAAAAAGGACCCTTAAAGGGACTCTAACTTTAGAGAACTACCCATATACTGTAAAGTCTTAGGGTTGCCTGTTCGATTCAACCAAAGCTAGAATTCGGCATAATTCGTACAAAGTTTCCGTAGAGTCCCTATGTCTTGAGGTCTCTACATCTACTCCCGAAAGCCTAGAACTGAGGATCAGGGGGCTCAGTAAGTAGGGATATAAGTAAGGTAACTATAGTTATATCTACGTGTAACCCTATTTAGGGTACTTATAACTTATAACTTATAACCCTACTTACTAAGGTCCCCTGATCCTCCAAGTAATGTAGGGGCCTGAATGACCAGAATAGGGTTTGTGGGTATATATACTCTAATCGTAACAAGCTAGTAGGGTAGTTCTCTAAATTCGGTCCCCTTTTAGGTCCCCAATATAGTACGGCACCCTTGTAAACAGGACCCGAAAAAGGGACCTTATTTTAGAGAACTAACCAGAAACCCCGAAACAAGAACTCCCCCCCAAGTAAATCCTGTATCTGCCCTGAACCCTAAACCCCAAACCCCAAACTCAACACCCTGATCCCCCAAGTAAATCCTTTATCTGCCCGTGCTCCTGCCCCTTTGCGTCTAGCTCTGCAGCCCCTCGCAGCTCGCACCTGTGGGGAAGCTTGGGGCTGAAGAGCTACGAGTTCCGGGTCAGTTTAGTCTTTAGGGCGTTTAGGGATTTAGGGTTTAGGGATTAGGGCTTGCGGTTTAGGAATTTGGCGCTTCGGGGTTTAGGGTTTGGCAGTCAAGGGTTTTTGCTGTCTTGGGCATAGCTGCAGGGTATCGGATTTAGATTGAAGGCTTCCGTCGCCGCGACCCGAAGAACGAGGCATGTTCATGTGTATAAACACCTGCAAACTGTATCGTCTCATCATAGTACGAATCACAGCAATGGTGAACAGAGCCTACTCATTGGATCACGAACCCACTGGACGCTCGTTGTAAAGAACCCTCCCCACTTCCGGCAGAAGGAGAGGAAGGCGTAGGCAGCACTGGCTCTGTCGGCGTACCTTGCTCGGGTGGTTATTCTGAATTGTGGATGCTGTTGAGCTGAGGCTTCAGGCTGTTCTGAATTCTGGATGGCTTTGAGCATCTTAATGAACACGCCTGTTATTCTCCAATGGCAGCCCGCAGAGACCTCACAAGGAGTCTGCGATTCCTGAGACAGGTCCTGAGGCTTCAGCGACCTTGCGTCTAGGCTGGAGTCCACAGCTTGGTGTGCACAGGTTGAATTCTCTGATTTCCCTAAAGAGCCACAGAAATACAAGGTCGCACAAAAGTTTCATACTAGTGCTGAACTATAACAACCCAACAAATTTCAATGTCGGTAGCTTCAAATTACTGCTATGGCAGCTGCATCTGCTACTACTACTACTACTACTACTACTACTACTACTACCACTACTACTACTACGACGACGACGACGACGACTACTACTACTACTACCACCACGACTACTACGACGGCGACTACTACTAAGATTTTGCTTATTTATTGTTCTGGTTATTGCTATTGGTATTGAGGTTATATATATATATATATAAACCCTTAACAGGAACCTGAGACAGTCACAACAGGCTTGATCATGTCCAGAATCCTAGCCAGAAGCTAGAACCTTAAACCCTCAGCCCTTCCATCCCAAACCCTAGAACCTCAAACCTCAGTCGAGCTGCTGGCTCACCATGTCTTGCAAAGCCTGTACAGCAACTTCTGCTGTGTCCGACGGTTCTGATGCACCAGAAGCTGCATGCAGATCCTGGCGGAACACAGGCAGCAAAACGGATAGGACTTCCTAAGCCCTGCATCCGACAACTTAAACCCCAAGCCTCCAACTGATAGGCTGGTCGGTTTGGGACAACAGCGAGGCATTGGAATGCTGCTAAAACCGCAGGGTGAGCGTTGAACTAGGAGGTCCTGTGCTTAGAGGATCAGGGGACTTAGTAAGTAGGGTTATAAGTACCCTAAATAGGGTTACAAGTAGATATAACCATAGTTACCTTACTTATAACCCTACTTACTAACCCTAAACCCTAAACCCTAAACCCGTTGCCTTACTTATATCCCTACTTACTAACTCCCCTGATCCTCCAAGTGTTGACTGCTAAGCACCAGCCACTTTGAGCAAGGTTCGAGCTTGGGGTGCCCCGGGTTCGGTTTAGGGTTTAGGGTTTAGGGTTTAGGGTTTAGGGTTTAGGGTTTAGGGTTTAGGGTTTAGGGAACTTTTCGGGGCCGGGGGTTCAAGTTCGTGTTTTCGGGGCTCTTCTCATACAGGGGCCTCAATAATGACCTGTACAGTTTTTGGAGGTTCCTTAATATAGTTATAGTATAAGATACCCCAAAACCCTATTCCAATTATGAATGTCGGGGCCATGTCCAGAAAGCCCAACTTACCCCTCAATTGAGCAAAACACCCGAGCTCACTAGAAGGATCCCTCCAGCTGGGGTAGACAAAGCCAGAATCATAAGGAACACCAAGGAACAGCAGGGGTAATTATTCGGGCTTCAAAACCCTAAACCCTAATAGGGTTTTGGGGGTTCCTTAGTATAATTGCAGTATAATATACCCCAAGACCCTATTCTAATTATTAAGGCCCCTATATTACTTCTATATTATTGGGCGCTGTGGGTCTGGCTCCCATGAGCGGCAGGCTTATCATGCGCTCGATTGCGGGGCTTCTGGGCTTTCGTGGAGACCTCTGACTAATGTGCAGCATTGATTTGGTAAGGGTATAATGTACAGGGGTCCTGTGTTTCAGGGACATGGTCTACGCTACTTGTTATTGATGGTGTTTTGGTTGAAACCTCCTTATCAGAAGTTGTAGTCGCTGCTATTGCTAAGGCTTGGGGATCAGGGGCTTCTCGACTTGGGGGGGTTAGTCATCGAGGGTTTCGGGAATAGCTGGTCCCCACTCCCTAATAAGCCCGAAGTCCCTGAGTAGGGTTGATGATTGGGACCGTGATGCTAATCAGGGCACTGTGTAACAGTGGGGCTTATTCATAATCAAAAATGATAAGGCTCCTATTCGACGGGGGAACCTATATGGCAGGGCCCTTTCTGAAGCCTGCTTTAGAGAGGGTCCGAAGACTGCCTGGTGCTTAGTAGGGAATGGGGGAATGGATCCCTATCATAGTCCCTTAAGGTCCCCTATAGTAGTCCCTATAACCCATTCCCCCATTCCCTACTAAGCACCAGACAGAAGAGCACAGACGCTGTCCTTGTAGAGGAGCAGCAGCTCCACGAGACTTGAGCGCATATTGAGCACCTGGGGATGGCGCTGTTTAGGGTTTAGGGTTTAGGGGGTAGTATAGGTTTCGGGATATTTCGTATTGCAGTGCCCTAGCGTTTTTATTCATATTGTCCTAATTATTTTGATACTGCGATATACCCCAAAACCCAATCCCTTTTTCTAAGGCCTCTACTTTGGTTCGTTCGGGTCAGATTCTGTGCGGGACTTCTGGGGTGTCTTCCTAGACGTCTTAAAGCATCTGAAAGGTCGAACCCCGAAGAGGGTATCCGCCGCCGGTAAGATAGGGCCATTTCACGGAATGTATGTTTTGGTTATCCTTTCAGGGGTCTGGCTTTGCATGGTCTTGCGACGTACGATGCTGCGCCTCTTCTGCACGTTGAAGTGTGATGCGTCCTCGGGGGGTCTGCAAATCTCTGTGAGTGTCGGAATCAAAGTGGCACACTCTAATCCGGCTGGACTCCGGCCTCCCGGGACTGTCCGTTGTCCCTGGTGAAGGCCGATTCACTGAAGCGAAATCTTAATCATATAGAAAGCGAGCTGGGAGTTTGGAGTATTCTGTGCTGCCATTCTAGAGGGTAGACAGAGAAGGCGAAAGACGGTATCATTGGGGATCCTGCAACCACTGTAGCAGGGAACCAGGTTACCGAACTAGAGGGGCTCTTGTCACTCTAGCGGGCCTGTGATGCAACCTCTCGAAACATCGTGATTTAAACGGCTTCTCCCTAAACTAACTCTACCGGGGAGATACCTTGGGAAACCATGATCAGGAACGCACAAGATATCCCTGCACGGCCGAATTCCAAACCGCGCAGTCCCGCACTCCCTCGGTCCTGCCACCACAGCTTGCAGCCACTCCTGACAGCACGGGTGGGATAGCAAGTGGCTTCTGGTTGGGGCTATAGGTGCTCCAGTTAGGGGTATTCCTTAAGGCGAGGCTATACATATGTAACTGACTTACCTATTTTCATAAACCTTGTTGTAGTAACCCTTACAGAAGTCGGTCTTCAGTAACCCTCACAGAACCCTTTCAACTTATAACCGCCTTCTCCGCCCCCTGACCCCTTCCTGGGCTATCAAGTAGCCAAGGAGAAAAAAGTGTAAACTTGTGTTTCACAATGGCTCCTTTAAGGAGCAGGTCCAAAGAGAAAGTAATAAAGCTATGGTACTCCAAAACTCGATTCTACTATAATTGTATTAAGGAGCCCCTAACATAAATATAGGTAAGTATCTAAACCCTAAACCAATAAAGTATGGTACTCCAAAACCCAGCTTCAGTCCTGCAAGGAAGCCATGGTCTGATGAAGGTGGGGATGCCCTCGGAGACCTTCGCCAAGGTCATCCCAAGCCTCGGCCAATGACTCGGAATTCTTCAGATCCCGAGACTTCCCAGACCCCCGGAAGGATCTAGAAAGTAGAACCCCCGAAAATTTGGGACCCTATACTACTAAAGTACTAAAGGCTCTTTATGGGAACCCCCCATTAA